ATGTGTGTGTGTGTGTGTGTGTGTGTGTGTGTTGTGGATGGCAGTTGCAAACTATTTCTATAGCCTACTCATTTCTGTATATTTAATCCTGTAGAGTATTCTTTCTTCAAACACATGCATTCATATAGAAGCGAAAAAGAAAACGCTAAGCACGTCAATCTCACAAAATCACGTCTGGGTCATATTTTATTTCAAAATCAAAAGGAAAAAATGACAGGCACACCGCTACTTTCATAATCGCGCGATTAAATCGTCTGCGATTATGAACGTGATTTTGCGTAGCTTGTCAGTGAACTACGGCTATGTGTAGTAAATGCCGGACGAGATGCGCATGAAAATCGCATTCGATTTTTTGCACAGCCCTACTTGTTCCATAATATCCAATTATAAAATGTTTTCTTATTTTTTGAAATATGTATTAAGATATGTTCTTGATCAACTTTGTAAGATTCACTCATGAACCAACATGATAGAAGATATCAGAAAAAGAAAGATGAGCTACATACACACAAAATGCTGAACAGTGTGTTTGGTGTATACAGCAGCAGCAGCAGTATAGCAACAGTGTGAGATTGCCTAAGCAAATATTCCCTAATTCTTTGCTCAGTGTTTTAAAAGCTTTTACGTGTGCTGGCAGATGGCAGATGAGATGGAGATTTTCTCAGGGACCTCATCAGCAAATGGGTGTTCTCAAATCTCAGGCCACCCCTCTCTACACACACACACACACACATTGCGACACACATTAATTCAGCTGAACTCTGAGATCTGATGGATATGTTTTAGTTTAAATGAAAATGTAAAGGTCAGTAACCTTATACTGATCTCATTCTCAGTAAGCACAGTATTCAAGCTCCAGGTGTGTTAGCCATGTGAGCTCTATCAGAGACTGTATAAGGGAAGAAGATGGACCACTCATAGATTAATGAATGAGAGAAATTACAGCGGTCAATAAAATTCAGTCCCACCTTTATGTTAAAAAGGCAGATCCCCTCGTTAACTTGAGTTTTTTATTATAATGATCAGGTGCAAACAGGTTTTTTTTTTTTTTTACTGTGGCCATGTTGTAATATTTGTAATATATTATTTTAATTATATATTTTTTCCCTGATACAAAACTGTCCTGGACCAGACTGAAAAATACAGTTTTAATGAGATTTGAGCTAAAGAAGCTACATTTATGATCTCGTTGTCAGATTTTATTGCTGAATTAAAATACTATTGAAGAAAATTCTTGACAAACAGTTTCAAGATTTTTCCTCATTCAAATATAGAGCTTTACTTATATGTTCATTACCTAGGAAATAGCTAAAATAAGTGTTACCAAGATGGTCGCTGAGTAAACTGATTTGACCGACTCGTTACAGTGCTTGCAATGCAGCACTTCTTCCCCAAAACAAAATCAAGACTTTGTAAAAGAGCATAATAGGACCACTTTAAATTGATTTCACATATGATCATGTCAGATTTCATGAAACCATTAAGTCTGCATGAAAATTAAAATTCACTCATCTATTTTCCAAAAGCATGTTATTGATCTCATTGTGCTCGTTTTATCACACTGAAAATACTCAGAAATTGCTAGTAAATTTCAATAAATAATTATAAAAAGGGAATAACATACCTATTACATTTGAAGCTAAAAATTCATTTAAAAAATTGATGTAGAAAGACGAAATGCACAAAAGTGTTTGTTTTATTTACATCTTCGAAAAATCATTTTTACAGTATTTTTTTTTATTACGTTTTAACCCTACATATTTTTCTTGTACAGTAATCCGTTTCACTCAGATGTACATCATAATGCAGATAAAAAGATCTGTTGCTACTTTCGTCACATTGCAACATTAATATTAAATAGTAATAAATTCCTGTTGAACTTCAGTTTAAATAAAAAAAAAAAAACAATAATTATGCAAGTAGCCATTATCCAGTACACTTGTTCCAGGTTTAGGCCTTTTGGCGTAACCTGAGGTTATGTTCCTTGCTCAAGGGCACTGGCAATAACTTTACCGAACTTACAGAAAACTTTAACACCACTCTGCTGATGCCTTGCGAGCACTGGTGTTTCCTTCTGGAAATGCAAATCTAGTTTGTAAATATGTGTGTTTTTAGAGTCACTGTTGAGTGCACATATACTTGGAAATGTTAAATGTTAGGCTTTAAGCAACAAACACAATTTCATTATGCAGCCTGGAGTTATAAATCATGTTTGTTCAATTAGACCAGAGGAGAACTGGCCTTCCTTCTGAGCCTGGTTTCTCCCAAGGTTTTTTTCTCTAATTTTTCTCCACACCTGATGGAGTTTGGGATCCTTGCCAGCATCGCTTTTGGCTTGCTTAGTTGGGGTTTAAAAGACACTTAATATTCAGCAATATTATTGTTTTGACTGCAGTGACACTATTGCATGAGAACAAAACTCGAACTGACTTGAAATGAGCTCAATACCGATGCTATTGTCTTCTATAGAGCTGCTTTATAGCCAAATCAAATTTCTTTCATAACTTGACTAATTTTGAAACATTGTTACTGAATTGAACTGAATTTAATTACTGAATTGAACTGAATCAACATAGAACTGACTTAAGCTGAATATTGACTGTCTTTCTAGCTGCTTTATAGCTGAATGAAATTTGTTTCATAATTGATGAATTTTGCAACATTTACACTAAACTGAACTGAATTAACATTGATCTTACTCGAGCTGAATAACGACACTACTGTCTTCTGTAGAGCTACAGTACTTACAGCTGAATCAAATTTTTTTCATAATTGATGGGTTTTGCAACATTCAATGAATCGGTTCAATGTTGATTCAGTTCAGTTCATGATTCAGTTCAGTCGATGTTGCATAATTCATCAGTTCTGAACACATTACCACTGAATTGAACTGAACTGAATCAACATTGAACTGACTCACTGAATAACGATAATGTTGTCTTCTGTACAGATGTTTATAACTGAATCGAATTTGTTTCACAATTGACGAATTTTGCAACACTCAGCGAGTCTGTTCATTGTTGATTCAATTCAGTTATAACATGCTGATGTTGCAAAATGCCTGTTAGGAAGGAATCAGAATAGCTGAATTGAATTTGTTTCATAATTGATGAATTTTACAACATCAACACATTATTAAACTGAACTGAATCAACACTGAACTGACTCAGGCAGAATAATGACGTTATTGTCTTCTGGAAAAATGCTTATAACAATTGAACTGGTTTCATAATTAATTTTACACAGTTATTGAACTGAACCAACAATGAACTGACTTATAAAATAATGACACTATAGTTTTTTAGTGTTGCTTTACAGCAACTTGAATTTGTTTCATATTTTCCTGTTTAATGCTGTAATGCTGCTTTGAAACACCTGTAATTCAAAATCTGTATTGTATGAAACGCTAAATTAAGTTGACTTGACTTCACTATGAAAACACTGGGGTCCAGAAGTCTCAGACCAGTGAAAATACTGAAAACTTGAAAAAAAATACTTTTTTCTGCATTTATCTAAATTTTTATAAAATTACTGTTAAAGTTTTGGATAGTAACCTCATATTTTAAAATACAGTATAGTACATAATGATTACAATATTCATAGTAAAAGATTACCATAGTATTAACATAGTCCAAAAACACGGTAACAATGATTGACAACACTAATATTTAATTTTTTGACTGTATCAATTGCTTACATTCAGCTACATGCATTAACCTGTAGCATCCAACTAACACTGTCAGTATTTTCCAGCTCTTCTATCATAAATGAAGCCATAAACCCTCTTTTCTCTCTCTCTTTTAAAGGGGTGCGTTCTCAGAGGTGGTGCTGGCAGAGGAGAGGTCCACGGGAAAGATGTTCGCTGTGAAGTGCATCCCTAAAAAAGCACTGAAGGGCAAGGAGAGCAGCATCGAGAATGAGATTGCCGTTCTACGCAAGTGAGTTCCATTTCCCGTACCACACCTGTACCCATGGCAACAGCATCACCCCTCTCTTCCACACTCATTCTCTCAGTTTACCAATTGATAGGAGCTTGTTTGCCTGAGGTTTGACCTCCAGTTACCTTGGTAACTCCGGTGCCCTCGTCCAATTACAGCAGGGAAGCTCCCTCAGATGTTCTCTCTCCGTGAAGCTGCACGCATGCGAACCATGTCCGTGAGTGTGGACAGAGGCTTTGACTGTGTTTGGAATGGAAAATAAGTGCATGCTTACTGCATACTGAACGCGCAGTATATACTGTTTGCTTCCTATTAGTATTAAAAGATAGTCTGCACAGCGATAAACATGAGTAGAGTTTTTTTTGGAATAAATCCATTTTTATGTAAAAAAAAAAAAACAATTCTGATTTCAACCGATTTTAGTGCAATCACACACTGCCTTTCAAAGGTTTGGGGTCTGTAAGATTTTTTTTTTTTAAAGAAATTAGTACTTTTATTCAGCAAGGATGCATTAAATTGATTAATATTTTGATATATTTTTTGGAATAAATCCAATATTATGTAAAAAAAAAAATCTGTAATTTCAACCGATTTTAGTCCAATCACACACTGCCTTTCAAAGGTTTGGCGTCAGTAGGGTTTTTTTAAATTTATTACAAATTAATACTTTTATTCAGCTAGGATGCATTAAATAGATTTTTTTTAAAGTGACAATAAATACATTTATAATGTTTCTATGCAGAAATCATAAAAAAAAATGTATCACAAAATATTTCCACAAAAATATTAAGCAGCACAACAGTTTTAAACATTGATAATAAGAAATGTTTCTTGAGCATCAAATCAGCATATTAGAATGAACTGGAGTAATGATTCTGAAAATTTAGCTTCGCCATCACAAAATTGATTAATATTTTGATATATTTTTTGGAATAAATCCAATATTATGTAAAAAAAAAAATCTGTAATTTCAACCGATTTTAGTCCAATCACACACTGCCTTTCAAAGGTTTGGCGTCAGTAGGGTTTTTTTAAATTTATTACAAATTAATACTTTTATTCAGCTAGGATGCATTAAATAGATTTTTTTTAAAGTGACAATAAATACATTTATAATGTTTCTATGCAGAAATCATAAAAAAAAATGTATCACAAAATATTTCCACAAAAATATTAAGCAGCACAACAGTTTTAAACATTGATAATAAGAAATGTTTCTTGAACATCAAATCAGCATATTAGAATGAACTGGAGTAATGATTCTGAAAATTTAGCCTCGCCATCACAAAAATAAAGTAACGATTTAAAATATATTAAAATAATAAAAAAAAACATTCAAAATTTAAAAGGTAAAAAACTCTTATTTTAAACTGTAATCTTTTCACAATATTAGTTTTTTTATACATAAATAAGAGAACTTCTTCATAAGAGATTTTCAACAAAAATAAATAAATAAAATAAAAGAATGTAGTGTAATATATATGTAGGAGGTCAAAGATGGGCTGGTTGTGATTTTTGGTAATCATTGAGCTCATGAATATTAATTAGCTAGCGTTTACATTGCCAGGCAGTTTTACACTTTTCAGTCCCTTGTCCTAATTGATATTCATGAAGTGTTCCTCGCTGACTTGGCATGGGCACAATATCAGCTTTACCTTTGTGCAGATATTTAAATTGGTTATATTTACATAAATTAAAAACTAAAGTCCAATTATTTTTTTAAATATGATTTTATAGTTTTTAATGTTATGTTAAAGTCACTTCAGTTTATCTTGACATGCTTTTTTAAAATGCAATCCAAAATAATATTTTGATATAAGCTAAATTAGTGCATGACCCATTAAAAGTACACATTACAAATATATTAGAGAGTATGTCCGAGCGTTAGATGTCTCTGTGTTTAATATTTTCTTTATTTCTTAATTTTATCACTTCACAACTTAATTTGCCCACTCTAGCTCAAAGAAAGCAAATCAAACCGACCTCTCACATACAAGCAACAAGCTTAACACATTTCTCAGGTATTTTCCCACCGTCGGTGCAAATTGATATTCATGAAGTGTTCCTCGCTGACTTGGCATGGGCACAATATCAGCTTTACCTTTGTGCAGATATTTAAATTGGTTATATTTACATAAATTAAAAACTAAAGTCCAATTATTTTTTTAAATATGATTTTATAGTTTTTAATGTTATGTTAAAGTCACTTCAGTTTATCTTGACATGCTTTTTTAAAATGCAATCCAAAATAATATTTTGATATAAGCTAAATTAGTGCATGACCCATTAAAAGTACACATTACAAATATATTAGAGAGTATGTCCGAGCGTTAGATGTCTCTGTGTTTAATATTTTCTTTATTTCTTAATTTTATCACTTCACAACTGTTAATTTGCCCACTCTAGTTCAAAGAAAGCAAATCAAACCGACCTCTCACATACAAGCAACAAGCTTAACACATTTCTCAGGTATTTTCCCACCGTCGGTGCAAATGAAAGCAGGTGTGTGTGTCATATGGTGTGTGACGGGTGTTTCCCCTGAGACTCATCAGGAAAGGCTGCCTCTGATTCTGACATGGGCTTCTGTTGTCACAGCGATCGTACCCTGGAGATCGGACACACAGTTTTGTCCTTCAAGTCTCGGTCTCCCTCATCTCATATCATAGCAACCAAATGATTGACAGCTTGTCTGCCATCTCCTGGGTGATGCCATAGGCCTGTAATTAGATGGAGCGAGTGCACACACGAGCCAACGAACGAGAGTGTGTTCGTTTCTTCATTGTCCGTTTGTCTTGCCTGCATATGTGGAAGATAATGAGATGCCCTCATAGGTTAGAGTTTAATCTTCGCAAAACCCGCAGAGAATCGCTAACGTACACTCCCAGCATGCCTCAGAGTCATGCTGCCTGACTGACTAGTGTTATGTTTAAATACTTAAGTCAATTCAATTTATCCAGACATGGGACTCGCTAACCCAGAGGGAAATTTTATTGCTCAAAGGCTGCTCTTTCTTAGCTCACGAGACATAATTGAGTTCTAATCAGGCATGACGTGAAGTTTCCAGTCATAAATGTTTTAGTCCGCACTAAAAGTGAAAATGCTGCATAAGGCAATAGTCTCAGTCAGTCAAGAAATATTAGGATTATGGACCAATGAGATTTCAAGGTGGGCGGGGCTAGCCAGCACAGCATCACTTGTCATGGGTCAGGACAAAAAATAAGATTTACATGGAAGAGATCGCTGTTATTACTTGTTTTGTTTAAATATTAGCTTTGTCTCAGAAGTTTCTCCTAAAATTTCTTAGGAGATACAAGAACAGAATCAAAAGAGATAATTTTCATAAAATTTTTGACATATAGTAAAAGTATATAACATTGTGAAAAAGAAGTACACTTTAGCATATTTTTATTAAGAGAACTTAAATAATATACTTTAGAATATATTTATGTGCAAACTCAATGTAATGTCTTCAGACACTTAATTGCATGTTAATTGCAATTAAAAGAAAACTGTTAAAAAATTACATTAATTGCAATTAGCTGATTTTTAGAGTGCGTTTTGACCCACTTGAGTAGCACTTACAGTATATACAGTACATCTTCATATGTAAACCTCCATTTGCTCTCCATTTAATCTCATTTCTGTCTTGGAGAAGCATTGCGACGTTAAAGGTATAGTTTGTCCAAAAATGACAGGTTTGGAACAAGTGGAGGGTAAGTAAATGATGACAGAATTTTCATTTTTGGGTGAACTTTGCCTTTAAAAATAGATCTCATTTGTGTATTTTCTTTAATGAGAATGAGTCTCACTCCACATCAGATAATGTGAATGCTGAAGTGAATCACTTACTACTTAAAAGCACCTGTCACAAAAGAAAGCGAGACGCAGCTTTCAGCAGTAAATAGCTAGTCATTCTACCTTTTTTATTGTTAAATGATTTCTTTTTATTGGCACTCAGCAGTGTTTTTGTGAAATAATGGAAAAGAGAGTGTTTTTTTTTTGTTCTGCTTTCACCCCTATTCCTTAGTGCTTTTTCCTCTTGAATCAAAAGAGAAGATGCTTTCAGAGGCAGCGAATGAGTCGTGCTACAGCTTCTGCCCACTCACTGCTGAAGGAGAAAGAGAGAGAGAGAAACAGACAGAGGGAATTAGCAGCAAACGCATGAAAGAGGGATATTAAGCCAGTGAATGGCTTTGTAATCCTCCAGCAGACGGGTTTTCCATAATCAGTTTTGAAAAATCAATACGTCAAAGGGCAAATCGACCTACAGGTTTTGTTTAAGAAGAAAAAACAGAGCATGTCTTTGTTTATTCATTTGTTTACAAAGCTAACATTTTAATATGCTGCATCAGAGGTGACTCTCAGTTCATTGAATCGCGAATCGATATGAAACCACTCGATGAAACCACTAAATTAATCACTTGCTCTCAGATTTATCCATACCTCAGTAACTCTTTTATATATCAAACAACAATACAAGGAGCATTTCTGACAAAAAACGAACGCCTGCTGGCTGCTCGGAGGCGTTTTACTGCAGTCTTTTATTTTGCATTTCTCTGAACCGAAACCTTTTTCTGTTTTATCCGGGCTCAGACAGCGGTGAGCACCAATGAAAGAACCGTTTCTGAGATGATTGCCCCTTACCTGTAGGGATCAACCTTTTCTGAACATATGGATGAACAAAGAGAGTTAATTATAGGAAACTGAGGTGGGGGGGAGAAAACAAATGTGTTATCTGCACTCATCGATGTCCATTATGAGCGTGTGTGCGCGCGTGAGTCTTGTTATTGTCCACTCACTTGCGTCATTGCCCAGCCTGTTATCATGTGCCAGTTGGACTCGCTGATCAGAATTAACTTAAAATGCAACGCTAATGCGTATACACATGGCCGCCGTGACTGTGTTACCATGACGAGAGAAGAGAGAGGGGGGGGGGGGGGGGGGGGGGGGGGGGGGGGTGGGGGGGGGGGGGGGGGGGGGGGGGGAGAAAACAAATGTATTATCTGTACCCGTTGATGTCCATTATGAGCATGTGTGCATGCATGCGTCTTGTTATTGTTCGCTCACTTGCGTCATTGCCTGGCCTGTTATCATGTGCCAGTTGGACTCGCTGATCAGAATTAACTTAAAATGCAACGCTAATGCGTATACACATGGCCGCCGTGACTGTGTTACCATGACGAGAGAAGAGAGAGATGTTAACTGCAGGGAAGGAGAGGAGAAATATTGCCAGTTGATATATGAAAGAGATGAAAAAGCCACCTTTTAAAGCAGGCACCTTAACAGCATCCATTAGATGACAACAATTAGACTAGCAGTGCATCTAAATGCTTTAGAATCTTCAAAAGCCATTTAGTCAGTTGTTTTGGCATATGACAATATACTGTATATACATACAAATGTAAATTCAATTAAAATGTTATTTACCTTAACCTGAAATGCATACAAATATATGTGTAGTGAATGTTAATTTCGATTATAAAAGCATACATGCTAGTGCATGCAAGTTCATAGCTTAAAACTTGGCAGTGTTTATTGTACATTAAATGGGCCTATGTGCACCACTGAAGTATTCATATGCTTATGAGAAGATCCAGAATGTTCCACTCTGTTAAATTAACTTCCTAAACAAACCCAGAGGCAAAGCAAGCCAGATTGCAGCAAACACATGCATAAAAATAAACGCTAAATGCATATTTTTTTAAATTGCAATTATAGCTGAGCCTGCCTTCACAAAGTTTTATTATATATATATATATATATATGTGTGTTAGATTTATTTTTAGCAATTTTATCCGTTTTACACAAAATTGTCTCCCTTTATAATAATAATTAATGAATTACTATATTTTAATGTAAATTTTTTGCAATTTTTAATTTTTGTACTGTTTTACACCATTTGAATACAGTATACATAAATATTCACAAAAACACATAATTTTTATGCCATGTTTCCATTCAGATGAAAAGATAAACATTGTTATATGTCTCTGTTTTGCAGAATTAAGCATGAGAACATAGTGGCGTTGGAGGACATCTACGAAAGCTCCAATCACCTCTACCTAATAATGCAGCTGTGAGTATGTGCGACGCTTACACAGTTACCCACAATGCACAATGTGCTCATGTCTTTCTGTTCATTCTGTGGACATTTTAACAAACAAATACCCAGTTATTTGCTTGTGTATGTACAAACATTTGGGGTTGGTAAGATGCTGTGGAAACCATGATACAATTTTTTCAGGATTCTTTGATGAATACATATTTAATTGATTTAAAACAGAAATCTTTCGAAATATAAAATGTCTTTACTGTCCCTTTTGATGGTGTCTGTGGTCCATGATTTTCAGCCATTTCAGAACTGAGAGAACTATGACTTTAACATATTACCGCCCACATCATCATCTCCTTATCAGTATTCAGCAACCCAGCGGGGGCGTCGCTAACTCATTTCACATGCGAAGAGGTTAGCCCATCATAAGGGAGGTCATTTACATACTGAAGTCTTAAAAGTGCAGTAACGAAAAAGGTTTGGTTCTAAGGGTCAAAAAGAAGGTGGAAAGTGATCATGTAAAACTAAATTACCACAAGAAACCTTGACAGACATATAAGAACAGCCCTGTTGCTCATCTTTATGTAATCCTCAGACATTTCTGCGCTTAAAAACGCTGTATTTTGTGTTTTTACTCTTTGATTAAACAGCAGTTGACAGTCTGACCTCTTGCTCAAGTATTAAAGTGACTTCTGTACCGTCCTTCACTTCAGCTCTGTTTCGATGAGCTTAATGTTCTGACACATGAATGCACAAAAATTAATCTGTAAAACGATAAGAAAATAGGATGGCACGGTGGGCCACGACCCAGATCACAGCGAACTGGAAGATGAAGAATGTCGATCTGGACAGAGAGGAAGAGAGAGGGTGGCAGTCTGGTGAGTTGGCTGAGCGCTGCTGTATGCTGACGTAGAAGCATTGCGTAACATCGGTGATGGGTAGCAGAATGTGCATGTCTGTCCAGCACTGCAATCACACACACACACACACATGCACACCTTAATGTAAGGGGAGCATGTAGTGTGTGTATCATATGCATTTAAAGAGAAAAAATGAGCCCTCTCTCGCTATTAAATAAATATATAGCCTGTAAGACGATTTACTGCATCAGAGCAGTGTGTGTGTTTTTAGAGCATGTTAAATTTTGTTATTAGCAATGTATGTTAGCCAGTGAAATGGCATTGACAGTTTTCCTTCTATAATGTGATATTTTAATTCACCAAGGATGCATCAAAAATGTCAGTAAAGACGCATAATGTTGCAAAAGATTCCCATTTCAAATAAATGCTGTTCTTTTGAGATTTATATTAATCAAAAAAGTATCAGTTTCCACAAAAATACTGCACAAAAGCAGCACAACTTTTTTTTAACATTGACAATCAGATATGGTTTTTGAGCAGCAAATCAGCATATTAGACTGATTTCTGAAGGATCATGTGACACTGACAATTCAGCTCTGCGTCCCAGGAATAAATGACATTTTAAAATATATACAATTAGAAAACATTTATTTTAAATTATAATAATAATATTTGACATTAATATTGTTTTTACTGTATTTGTGATGAAATAAATGAAGCCATGGTGAACAATCTTTTTTTAAACAGTAGTGTATTTCCAAGTTATAAATTCATTATTCTGTTAAAACTTGTGTATTATTTGAGCTGTAAAAATAATTAAATTATTTTTACAGTCATTTTAGGTGTTACATTGTCATGGGAACAGTAAAATTATATATAACTTGACACAGAAATGGTTAATTTTCATATAAAATCATGTTAACATGCATATTGGTTACATCTTGTATTTTGTATTTTAACACTTCCATTGTAAGTGCCTAACTGTAACACAGTTTTTATTTATTTATTAAGTAAAAGAGGCATAAATCCAAATAATTTTTGTGCTGATCAACATCATGCTGTAGATTAACTTGACTTGTATTGATCCTGGAATAATCTTTACATAGAGGTAATTTATGATGTTGCTTCCCTGTGGGTTGTGTATTCAAAAACTCGAATGATTGTGTCCATATATGTAGATAAGAAAAGTGAGTGCATGGACAACAGTACTTTATCCATTGGGAATGGACATAATCGTGTAAAGTGGTTTCTATGACAGGTGGTTGCAGGGGAGGGGTTGCTGACGTCAGCCGAAAGGAAATTCGGTTCAGGGACAGAGCCTGTTATTACATTTTCATGAGAGATTACGAAGACAACAGCATAAATGGGGTCAATTCTGATTTCATTTCAACTTTAAATGCTGATGATGCGGAGACGAGAGGGAAGTTAGGCGGATTAGAGGAAACAAACATTTATTTTCCGTCCTCATTTCGCCCCTGGAAACCGCATTAGAATTTGAATTCCAGAGTGTTAATTTGATAGTTGGCCGGGAGCCTGCCCCTCTTTTCCCTGTTAATAGGTTGTGCCGAGTGTGTGTGTGTTACTGAGAGAAACATGAAGAACATTTTGGCATATGGTGTTGAGATGAATATTTAAACAGTACCAATCTGCTTTCTGTATGATCTCACAGATGCCGTTTAGAAACTCTTTTCATAATTCACTCTTCACGTAAGTGTGTGTGCAAGTGTGATTCAATCAGATATGGACTGTTTTCTTCATGCATGTTAGATCCTCAGGCACTACTGCACAATATGACACGATTTACGGCAGTGGAACGAGAGAAATGAGGACTAGATGAGGACAGAGAGAAAGAGACGGACTAAGGGCGTCTGCACACTGCAGCAGAGAGCGCTGTACATCCATTGACTACAATTGAAATGGTGCATCATGAGGATGTAGAGAAGGAGTGTTCAATTAAAGTCCAAAAGGTCTATGGTTTCCTTCCCTGCAAAGGTCCATATAATCATAACTTACACTGGCAGGAGTCAATAAGGCTTGGAAATGAAATAAGCAGTGTGCAGCATTGGAGGAATATATATATTTTAAATTGTAAGATTGGCAGCAGAAGTACTTTGTAAAAATAAGAAATAATCCTACATACACTCTTAAAAATAAATGTTCCAATAGGGAACCTTTTTGCAATGATATTGTAGAACCACCAAAAATAACCTTTTAGAGAACAGTTCTTAAAAGAACAAAAAAAGAACATTTTAATAGTCTGAAGAACCTTTTTTCCATTATAAAGAACCTTTTTGTCCTATGGAAGGTTCTTTATATAACCATCAATGCAAATAAAGCACTTTTATTTTTAAGAGTGTAGTGAAAATGGTCTACAAAACTGCTGCTTCATCCAGTATAAACTTGAAAAGGTGCAAATGTGCATTTGCTACCTTAAGGAGCCATTTCTAATGGGTAGATCAACTTGATTTTCAACAGAAATTGGTTTTCATGGGCAATTTTGCACATAAATGTTTATTTCAACTGCGGCCTACATATAGATCAAAACAAAAGATAAATTAGGCTGCACGAAACTCTTAAGAGTTATTTCATGCATATTTCGTGTGCGTATATGCATCAATGGGCAATGCATCCATTTTTTGAGACAATCACTATAAAGACTATGAACAAAAGCGATTGTATCTCCATCCAGAAGGGGGTGCTATAGTCTTAGTAGTTTGAAAACAACCCCTGCTCAGACCACACCAAGTCCATCCTCCGACTTTCAATAAGCAGCATTAATGTGCTCTGTCTGCACTCTCCAGCTTTGAGCTTAAATTTGCCTAATTGCATGTAGTAGAGTTTGAATTTACATAAAAATGACTGGCTAATGCAGGCGTAGGAGATCAAGAGGCCAAACGTCATTGAGTTCTTTGCCGAGGCTCCATTGTGTGACGGCTTGGTCTCTGCACTTACAGGGACGAGATAAAGTTTTTTCCCCCCCTGTATTCAGATCAGTTGCACTGTGGTGGGTTTGTCTGATCTCAGTCGGCATGCAGCACCCCCTACAGGGGAGTTCACATCAATTACAGCCCTGCAATTGTGCTGTATATTAGGAGGACACACATTTCTGCTAGTATTTTAATATGTAACTAAACATTTAGATGTATATATTAATATGGAATTAGTTTTTTAGTGGTCTCTCTGCTCTTTGTTGTGGTCTCTCTCTCTCACGTTCTGTGTATTTGCAGTGTGTCTGGCGGCGAGTTGTTCGACCGGATTGTGGAGAAAGGTTTCTACACAGAGAAAGATGCCAGTACGCTTATCAGACAAGTACTAGATGCTGTAAACTACCTCCACAATATGGGAATCGTACACAGAGATCTAAAGGTGAACGAAACACACCCACATTCACAGTTCAGTTCTGGTTTGATATGTTTGATTTCAATATGAGTGCGTTTTCCCTCTTCAGCCAGAGAATCTGCTCTATTTCAACCCGCAAGATGGCTCAAAGATCATGATTAGTGATTTTGGTTTGTCTAAGATGGAGGGGACAGGTGATGTCATGTCCACAGCCTGTGGAACGCCGGGATACGTGGGTAAGAGTTTAGATATGAAAGAGAGATTGAGATGTTTATGATTTTTGTCTATTGTAGATGTGCATGTTTATATACCGTATTTACAAATGTGTATATTTTAGCTATTGAAGAGTGACTGCATGGGATGCATGTGTCGGTTCATTTGTGTGCGGCCTGTATCTGCACTTGAAGCTTATTCTTATCTCATACTGACAGAACTGCCCCAGAGTCGCCTGCTTTTCCCCTGCGATTAGAGCGACTGCAACACTCTGAGCCAACATGGCTGTATGTGATGCTGCATGTGAAATAAACACACACAGCTGGATACAATATTCAGTTTAGAAAATATTGAATTAGAAAAGTAACTTTCATATTATGTGGTCAGAAATTTTGCTTTTAAAAATTGCTTTTGTTTATTGAAATTGAAGCTAAAATAAAATATAAATATTGAAATGAAAACCAATCAAAATAAAATAAATATTATATTAAAATATAAATTATAATTAATGTTCATATTAAACATAAATATTTGATGAAAAACAAACTTATTTCAGACAACAATTCTAATTTTCTTTTAAGTGAAGTACTAAATTTACTTAAACTAAAATTGAAATAAAAAATAAAGCTGAATAGATCACAAATAAAAAAAACTAATGGAAAATATGACAAAAACATTAAACTACTAACTATTACTAAGTACTAAACAACTAACAAAATGAAAACAAAGTCAAAGCTAATTCAAAATATTAATACATATTATTATTATTAATATACTAAAATATACTTAATTTTAAAATTACAATAGGTGGTACCATGGTACAGTGGTAGTATCAGATGGTAATACCATGGAATTTTAATTCATACAACAAGACTGAATGATAGCTCTATCCATATACCAAGTATTACCATGGTAAATGTACAAAAAACATAACATATGGTACAATAATAATATCAGTATATCATTATATCAGTAACACTTTACAATAAGGAATTTGTTAACATTAGTTAAGTATTTTACAGCATTTTTTAATCTGGGTTAAACTACAATTTATAAATATACTATTTTTCATTGTTAATAGAATTCATGTTTGTTCATAATGCATTAACTGTGTTAATTTAGTGAAACACTGAAGAATTCTGTAGAAATGGACAACCAAGATGAATAAATGCCGTAAAAGAATTGTTCGTTGTTACTTAATGCAGTGTTAACAAATGAAACCTTATTGTAAAGCGTTACCCATTAAACAAGCTTAAGAAATGGCCCAAACTCATTCAACGTATAAATGTAGTAACTGTAAAATCAAAATGAATAAGATCATGTAAGAGTCATGTTGGAAATATCTCCTCTTGTAGGTCCATCACACACCGTAACTAAACCATAATAAAGTCAGCAGGGTTCGAGTCTCAGTAGTGTTGAGTTTCCTACATGCCTCTTCATGCATGTGTGTTTAAGGCAGTCTTTACGGGCAAGTTTCCATGGTAACTGTGTTTAAACGGCGCTGTGGCGGCTATAAAACGAGTCTTCAACCAGTTGCATCCTGGACCGGGGTCAGACGCTGCTGTGCGTGAGCTTTCTCCTCAATGGAAACACTAGAGCTGAATGAGAGCAGCACGCAGGCATGCATTCAGTGTGTGCGTCTGGAATGCCCTCTTTTTGTCTTTAAATGGTAACAATCTCGTACCAAGCCCTCCAAATCAAATTTAAGGATCAACCGCTGTCATCGTTTTTGGATTTTGGAGCACTTCATGCTTCCTTCTGCTGACCAGCTTTTTGAAGATGCTGATTTCATTTTCCAGCAGGATTTGGCACCTGCCCACACTGCCAAAAGCACCAAAAGTTGGTTAAATGACCATGGTGTTGGTGTGCTTGACTGGCCAGCAAACTCACCAGACCTGAACCCCACAGAGAATCTATGGGGTATTGTCAAGAGGAAAATAAGAAACAAGAGACCAAAAAAGCAGATGAGCTGAAGGCCACTGTCAAAAAAACCTGGGCTTCCATACCACCTCAACAGTGCCACAAACTGATCACCTCCATGACACGCCGAATTGAGGCAGTAATTAAAGCAAAAGGAGACCCTACCAAGTATTGAGTACATGTACAGTAAATGAACATACTTTCCAGAAGGCCAACAATTCACTAAAAATGTTTTTTTTTTTGGTCTTATGAAGTATTCTAATTTGTTGGTGGGTTTTTGTTAAATGTGAGCCAAAATCATCACAATTAAAAGAACCAAAGACTTAAACTACTTCAATCTGTGTGTATTGAATTTATTTAATACACGAGTTTCACAATTTGAGTTGAATTACTGAAATAAATGAACTTTTCCACGACATTCTAATTTATTGAGATGCACCTATAGTTGCAAGACTGTCGAAAAAGACAGAAACTCAGTGGCAGACAGGAGTGATATGATTTGTCTCAATCTGATCTGATCTGATTCTTTCTCTCTTCTCAGCTCCAGAAGTTCTCGCTCAGAAGCCATACAGTAAAGCTGTGGACTGCTGGTCTATCGGGGTCATTGCCTACATCCTGTGAGTACCCACAATGCCACACTCATCCTTTCATTTATAAGCTGAGGAATCCTTCAGCTAAGGTTTGAATGAAACTTTCAGAAGAAGAAAAGTTTGCACAATGTCACTGAACCACTGAGTAAATGACCTATCTCTCCAGATGAGCTACAGATGTTGTGCCCCACTTTACTCAGACTCTTTATATGGGCTTATTGTTGTGGTGCAGTTTGAGTGAGTTCATAAAACAGAAAAGAGAGAGTTTGTGTCTCACAAATATTTGAGATGTTGATTAATGGAAGATTTCTGGACTTTCTCTGGTTCCTCAGCAGATGGGAACGCTTTCTTACCAATAAACACTGCGGTGTTACCATGGTACATGATGATGGTATGAGATGCTAATGCCATGGTACTGATATGAATTCTTATATAACATGTTTTTTACTTACAGGGCAGGGTGATTTGGCAAAAAAGGTTGATTTTTTTGAAAATGGTTGATTTAAATATTTATATTATATTATAATTTTTTTTTTCTTAAAATTATCTTTTTGTAGTTTTTCACTAAATGAACACAACAAAAATGTTGATTTATTTGAAACAATATAACAATTGATAAACAACAGGATTTTCTAATATTTTTCTCCATATTTCCCATATATTTGCCCATATTATAGTACATACACTTCAATATCTAAAAAAAACATGGTTAAAGCTCAGTTTCATCACTTCTGTGAGATACTATATATATATATATATATATATATATATTAGAAAACATTTTATTTATATAAAAAAATACCATGTGGACTTCATGAACATTTTTGAGTCTCGACTCGCTCCCGGAATCAAAGTTTTGAATCGATTAATTTGGAACAGACAGTTTGAACTGATTCAGGAAGAAGAATCAAACTTACTGGCTCTAACCTAAAGAGTCTTAAGAAATGTCATAATATGCAGCAAAAATTATTGTAAATATTACTATTAAATAGCCTATAAATGGAATATTCCTCACACTAAAAGTACATTGTCCCAAAAACAAATCATTGCGATACCACTGTGATATTTTCATTTCACCCTCTGTATATTTCTTAGTGTGGGAATGTTCATAAGGATACTGAGAGTGTCATAAAAGCTGTACATTTCACATGTGCTGTGGCCATCTGTGCTTCTCTGTCTGTGAATTAGCATTTTACTTAGTGGAGACAAATCAACATAAAAACAAGTGCCTCATCACCTTCTCATATCTTAGTCTGCTGCAGTTCTCTGTGTACATCTGAGTCAATTGTCTTTTGTTTTGGTCTTTGGATCCTGGCTGCTCTGGGGCGACTCCTGCGCCAACACAAACACTCACACTGTCTGTCAACAAACTGCTGAAGCTGTCCTTCCCATCACTCCCACTCACAGCTGTCCTGATCCCAAATATTCACATGTTTATGGTTGAGTTTGTTTACTTTTGCACAGGTTAATGTTAACTTACTTAATTATGAGATTTAGAATTAATTTTTAACTACCATAATGTAATATATGTGATTTTAAAAAAATAGTTCACCCAAAACTGAAAATTTACTAAAAATGTACTCTCTCTCAGGCCATCCAAGATGTAGATGAGTTTGTTTTTTTCATGGAAACAGATTTGGAGAAATTTAGCATCACATCACTTGCTCACCAATGGGTCCTCTGCAGTGAATGGGTGCCGTCAGAATGAGCATCCAATCAGCTGATAAAAACATCACAAGTAATCCACACCACTCCAGTCCATCAAATAACATCTAGTGAAGTGAAAAGCTGCATGTTTGTAAGAAATAAATCCATCATTAAGACATTTTAACTTCAAACTTTCAGCTAAAACACAAATCCTCTAGCCATAATACTGCTTTCTCCTGATCTCGTCTGAATCAGGAAAGGAATATGCACAGATCAAGCACCGTTTACAAACGAAAACAGTTCTAAATAAATATATCAGTGGAATTTGATGTGAGAGGACAATAGAGGATGGACTTTTTAACTGGAAGGAGCATTATGGAATGGAATGGATTAAGGAAGTGACGGTTAAAATGCCTTAATGATAGATTTCTTTCTTACAAACACAGCCTTTCGCATCACATGACAATTGATGGACTGGAGTCATGTTTTGGATTATTGTGATGTTTTTATGTGCTGTTTTATACAATTTTTCAGGAACTATTCTTTAAACAAGAAGAAAAAAAAATGTAAGGCAGGAATTTATCCATCAGGAATTGATTGGATCATGAAAAGTGGTCTCTAAATGACAAAGTGCTGGATGGGAGATGTTGTCTTTTTTTAAGTGAAGCATTTTGTTACATTTTGATTCAGTATTATCACTTTTGGGTAATGAATCTTATGAATCATTCAAGACCAGAAATGTGTATAAAAGTACATTTTGATTTTATGTTGACTTAAGCTAAGTTTGTACATGACACGAGTGTGTCAGTGTTGTTTTTGCTAACTAAAACCAAAACTATGAATTGACTTAAAAACTTCATTAAATATAGGATACCAGCATGGCGCCGCAACTTGGTAATAAAGCTCTTCTGATTCTGATTCTGATTCTGATTCTAAATGATCTAAAGCTGAAATAAACAAAAAAAACTTAAAGATCTTAAATATAACATCCCTACTGTGTTATTCCTATGTATGTCTGCACTATCATGTATGTCTGCACTATGTTTGTACTTTCTTCTACACTGGAAGCTCCTGTCGTCAAGTCAAATTCCTTGTGTGTGTAAACATACTTGGTAATAAATCTCTTCTGATTCTGATTCTGATTCTGATTCTAAATGATCTAAAGCTGAAATAAACAAAAAAAACGTAAAGATCTTAAATATAAAATTAAGTTGAATTATCTGGCAACTTTATTTTAAGTTGAAGTTCTAAAATGACTAAAACTTAAATAATTAAAGCGAAATATTTTTTAAAAATAAATGAAAGTTGACAAAATCACAAAAATACTAAAACTGGAAAATGAAAATATAAAATTAAAAGCGAATTCAGAATATTAATAAGCATAAAAGTATATAAATAATACTAAAATAAATCTGGTGTGTGTTTACCGACAAGGGCCTCTGCCCACTTCTTCCTCGGAGCCAGAGCTTGGAGTCAGATCTCATGGATGGTTGGCCTCCTCTCAGGTGTGATTATTGCAGTGACAACCGGCCGAAACCGTAGCTAATTCTCTTAGCGTCTGATTAGCTAACCCAACGAGAAGAGAGAAAAACACAAAGCTAATGGGGTCGAAATCAGGCAGAAAATTACCATCCCTTTCTCCCCCACTGCCTCCGTTCCCCATGAGGAAAGGTATTTTAATGGCTTTGATGATGGGAGGAGAAAAACATTCCAAGAGATGTGTTGAAGAAATTTGATTTACGTTCATCGGGTTTAATCAGCTGTCTTTCTTTTCAGATTTCCAGCCCATGGGGTTTATTTACGCTTATTTACGAAACGTAAATGCTTGTTTACTGTTGAATCAAGGTGTGAGCTGACGTGTTTTTAGAGGATTACAGTGTAAATCTAAACTCTAAAGGGATCGTTCACTCACAAGTGAAAATCTGGCATTATTTATTCAGGACTAATCTCCAATATGACAAAATAATATGTAAAAGTAGTCCTTATGATGATTGCATTATATTACTAGTGTTTTGAAGCTATATTGTACAAGTCATGTGGACAACTTTTATAAAGCTTTCATTTTTGACATTTGGGAGCTTGACAAAGCGGATCCCATTTCATTATATGGAAAAGAGCAACAAGTACATTCTTCATAAACAGAGGAAAAAAGTCATGGGAGTGAGTAAATAATGACAAAATGTCCATTTTTCATGTGAACTGTCCCTTTAAATATAAGTAGCATATAAGAACTACTGATGTTACACATTTAAGGTTGTGGGTTCGACTCCACACATACTTGCTTACATATTTCCACACTTTGAATGAGCTGTAAGTATGGAAATGATACAATAAACTTTTGTTTTCTTACAGATTGTGTGGTTACCCTCCCTTTTATGACGAGAATGACTCCAAACTCTTTGAGCAGATCCTGAAAGCGGACTATGAGTTCGATGCGCCGTACTGGGATGATATATCTGATTCAGGTATATTCACTCTGGGAAGTGTAGAAAAGAAGCACATGGTGCTAATGGTCCGGTTTATAGGTGTTTAATCTATAACACACTCACTCATCTATCAGTAACTGCACATGCTGCCAGTAAGAGAGGAAAAATGTTTTACAGGAAACTCTGAGCGCCGTCTCTGGCATTCAGTAAACACCACGGGCATTAGCTCTATGAAATCCTTCCAACCTACAAATCAGGGAACTGTGAATGAATCCAAATGTTGTTGTCAGTCTTTCCACTGATAAACCCAAACTCTCAGTTTTATCTCACCAACAGGATGAATGTGGCATAGTGTAGGCCCACAGTGTAGAACGCAAATATGATGCCTTGAAATGTCAATGTAGTTTAATGGTTCTAAGCTACTGAACATTTATGTTTTGTATTTTTTAATGTTTAACTTTTATATTTTTTATATTTAATATAAAATTTTATTATTTTTATATTTAACAGCAAAAGACTTCATCAGTTGTTTGATGGAAAAGGACCCAACAAAGCGATACACATGTGAACAGGCCCTTCGACATCCCTGGTAAGTCAGTACTGTCCTGATTAATTACAATAAATTATTATTATTATTAATAATAATAATTTTTAATTCAAAGTGAAACTATAATTTAAGTAAAATTATAGGAATTTATTATCATTATTATTATTATTTAAATAATAATAATTTAGTTGAAAATCATTTTAATGTACAGTAACAATGTTAAAAGTAATGATAAGAAGAATTTAGAGTGAAAATATCATTTAAATAATAAATCAGTAATTTTATTTTTTTTGTTGATTTTGTTGTTGTTAATAATAATAATAACAATGTTACAATTAAATGAAATTTTCATTATTATTGATGACAATAATAATAAACAGTTCTTCTTACAAATAATATAGTACATTAGTTGAGCTGTAGGTGATGTTGTTTAAATTATAAATTTAATAAAGATCCTTTTTTGACAGCAACAAGTAGGTCTCTGCAGATCATTGTTCTTTATGATTTACTTTTATTTTGTTGGACTGTCTTTCAGGTCCTCAAAGACACTTAAACTGTACCAGAACAATTAAACTGTGACCTCATAAACAGCTTTTAGAGACAGAGCTTTATTTCTCGTTATTAGTGCAGCGTTTCATTGGTATTCGATTGAGACGCTGTCTGCGTCAGCCGGGGATTGCGTGTACATTCTGAGTATCAGGCTGAATTCTGTCTCTCCATTATCATGCACCAAGATCTCTCTCAAGGGCAGGAGGAAAGCTACTGAATAAACGCTAGCCAATTAAGACACTGCGCCTAATCTCACATTATGTATTCCAAAGCGCTAATCGGCAATTAGCACATCCTCTACAGGCACCTTTAAAAAGCCTTTACCAAACACTGGAGTCTGAGAAACTGGAGAACAGAGCAGAAGGATCGAAAACCATAGGGAATTGACACACTTTGGAGTAAATCAAAGTGCTTCTTAAGAGGAGAGGAGCGATGAGAGGAGAGGACGAAGTGAAGAGGTGAAGAAGGGTGCAAAGTTTTGACTTTGTCGTTTTGCTTTTCAGGATCGCAGGAGACACTGCGCTCTGCAAGAACATCCATGAGTCTGTCAGTCGACAGATGCGCAAAAACTTTGCAAAAAGCAAATGGAGAGTGAGTAGAAGTGACATTGTGAATAAGGCCAGCAAGCTTATACAAGTAGAGTCAAATTTTGAAACACAAAATCTAGCTTGTGTAGCTTAGAGTACTGTATGTTTTGGGCCTCATTTCGCTTCTCTTTGACCATGAATTCTCGTCTCTCCACATATCAGCAAGCCTTCAACGCCACGGCCGTGGTTCGCCACATGAGGAGACTGCAGTTGGGCAGTAGCATGGGGAGCAGCATGGACCAATCAAACAACGCCAACCAGAACCGCATACTGAACGCCAACCAGACTCCAAACACCACACCAAACTCCACTGCGGCACTTACCCAAAACCACAAACCTGCTCCCAATGCAAACGCCGTTCTCATTAACGATATGGCCACCTCTATACCACGCAAAGACTGTAAGTATTAGTCATATATCATATTAATCAACATGAATATTGCAGTAATTTGAACGCACTTTTAAAAATCTAATTTATTTCAATAATAATTATTGTATTTAAAATTTCCTTAAACAATAGGCCAATTTTAGACCCGCTCCTGTCAAGAATTGGGAGTATAAGAGAGTGCTGTATGTAGAATGACAAAAAATCGGGCTGTTTGTTTCATTTTTGCATTTGAGTTCATTTCATATGCCTGTTTCAGTGAATCATTTTAATCACTTGTTCACATCCAGTGTTTATTTAGTTGATTTAGTTTTTTTATTCATTGACCCTGTTCATGTCAAAACTCAAACATGTTGCATGGTATGTTTTACTAAAAAGGAGAAATGTTGTACAAAATGTGGGAAAATTATTATTTATAGCTATACTACTTTTCAATGTTGTGGTAAAACACCCATGTTTTTAAAACTAAGTTTTAACATTTACCTTATCGCACTTCGTCAATGACTGTCAAAATGATGGCTCTTTTAAATTTTTAAAAAATTGAAAAAAAACAAACAAACACATTTTTAATCCATTTAAAACCAAATATAATAAATATTCAGATGTAGAATAGCATCTAGAATATCTGAAAAATGTTAAATTAGACATATTTTCTGCTATAATCACCTAACCCTAGTCCTAACTTAAATGCATAAATGCACTAACCGATAAATTTGCATTTGTAGGTACTGCCCCTCCACACACTTCCTGTTCCCTGGCATCAGCTGCTTCCTCCTCTGCCTCAGGGGCGGAGCCCTGCAGGCCACTCCCTCCCTCAGTTGCGTCTGTGAGCACAGTGCTAACTGGGACCAAGTGACGCCAGGTTCTGCGGGGAGAGAGCTGGGAGGCCACTGCCCTGTGAGCCCCGCCCCTCAGCCCGCTCCCCGCCCTGCCGTTCAATAAGGCAAAGGACTGACCCATCGCCATAGCAACCACCGAGAGGCTCAAAACACTGCGCGCGCCTAACGCACTCCTGCCATTTAACCTCCAGGCCACTAGAGGGTGCAATGCATGCAGCGGCAGGAGACGGAGATTTCCAGCAGAAGGCTTCCATTTTGAGAAGTGAATTTGTGCGGCTGGACAGAACTGTGATGTCTTTGCTATGAATGTGCTACGAACCTCGCCAGCCATGAAAAAAAACAACAACAACGAAGAGCGCAGAGGTTTAGGTGCGAAAGCGTGTGCATGATCGTGTCCGCCCTTATAGGAGGATGGCGCCAATGTCAAATGATTCTTCTTACTATATCGTAACATGTCTAGCTCTTCCCACTTTTCCCTGTTTACTTTCTCTTATCTACTCACGATTTATTGTATTTCTCGTTAGCTACCATTTTGATCTTTCGGGGTTTTCCACTGATGTGTCACGCTGACCTGCAGAAGTGCTTTTAATAATCACGTTAGACTGTTTTGCGACATTTTTCGAGTCGAGACTTCTGTTTGCACATTTATACGAGAGAACAGGTAGCGCAATTGCTAGCGTTTTACGAGATGGGAGATCACCGATTTGCGACCTCGCCGTCGGGTTTTAGCATCGGGAAGTTCAAGATATCTGTTAAAACATGCAGTATGTTTGATTGTTATCTTACTTTACTGGATTTTTTTTTTAAAAAGCAAAGAGAAAACAGCTTGATCCTGTTACTCTCTGCTTCAAACGTGACTTTAAATACACACAGACAGTCACTGTTAGTTATTGAATATAGTATAACTGTTAATACGCAACACAAATCTCCCAAAAAGCCATGGTAGTGTCTTTCTACGCCCAGTGTACGAGTTCTCAGGGAATTCCGCAGCTGCACTGGGCAACATAGTGATGGTATCTTTAGTAACGCCTCCATGGTTTGAGATTGTCTCATCCAGCTGGAATAATGTAAAAAATATCGATTAGGATGATGGACAGCTGTTTAACTCTCACGACGATTGTATGACAATTTGACCATGCGGGAAAACTGATATGTTATGCTACGTTCACGCCGTTTCGGAATTAGCCCTACCGTGATTACAAACTCCTGATAGAGCAAAAGTCGGGCTCTGGAAGTAAATCCCATCAGTTTTCTCAATTGGAGATTTGATTTTTAACCATAACTTATAAGCCTTTAATCACCTACTGTGAGCTACGAGGTTGTTTATCGATGGTATATGATTTTTTTACATTTATCGATAGCATTATTTCAACATTTTTTAACAATAATGTTCAACAGTGGGAGTCCTAGTAAAAAACTACATTGCCCATGATTCTGAAAAAAACTACACTCCCATGAACCACTAATGCTAATGACTGACTTAATCTGCCTACACTTTCAAACTACTTAAATATTTGTGTGTATATATATATATATATATATATATATATATGCATATTTTGCAATATACACAATCATACACATCTTTAAATCAAATTTATTTGATGTTTTTAATTTGTTGTTTGCACTGCTTCATGGGATCGTAGTTCTTTCCCTCATTAGAGCGATTTTTCTCTGATTTTCAAATACTTTTTGCTTCAAATCAAAGTTTATAATGTTGTGAGTTACCTCGTCTCTGGTTGGTTTGGTTAATGGCTTATAACTCTTAAACGGGGAAAATGAATGGAGAGAATACTTCCGGATCCAAGGCTGCTGATAAAGTGGGCGGCCACTATTGCACTCTATTACACGTTGGAAACAAGTTAAGGGCGGGACTGACCATTTTATTCGACCAATGGCAGACAGAGGAGTGTTTAGGATACCTGTTACTATTTCTGCAACATTTTGTGATGCTAGTGGCATAGAAACTTCACTTTAAAGGCATTTTTGTATATATACTGCTAAATATTTCTATTTGATGTCATTTTATTATAGCCAGCATATCATGGTGCGCTTTCTTCGCTCTTCCTGATTTTGCAAAAAAAAAGTGGCTGTTTAATGTGGCTGTTAAGTATTTTGCAGTAAAGTCATCATTATGCATTTACATGTTGCGTAATTCTGACTCAACGCAAACGCAGCATAACTTTCAGTGACTGTAAACATCTTTCCAGTACGACTCAAAGTGTCTGAATTTCTAGCATTGCTTTAAGGGCTAAGTTAAGGTTTTTACACGTCCTTATTGATGGGTGACTGGTCTTCTGTCCCCGAACGGCTCTGCTTATTATGTCCTGTCGGGTTTTTAAAGTGACTGATGACTTCTTTGCCCTTTATGGTTTGTTAATATCACAGGAGGGAACCTCGTCTATGGACAAGATTTAGGAGTGTGTGACATTTTCCAAAGTGCCATCGAATATCTTCATGCATTTCCCATTAGTTTCATCCTGAATGTTTGTTTCGGTGTGGGCGGCGCTTCACCGTGAGGGGTTTGAGCTGATGGGTTTATTTTTCAGTCAGGTCATGCATGCACCATTTTGTCTTCATTTTCACACTCGAGAGGAGTTCGTAATCTCGCAATGGAGATGCGCTGCAAAGCTTTTCACGAAACTGGGGCGACGTTATGATTTTGTATGTCACGAAAGCTGTTTTCTTTGAGAGTGAACCATACTTCACATTTCTGTTTCATTCAGAGCCATTTACGCTGTAAGCATGAGATGTTTGATAAGTAACAGTTGTTTAAATGAATGTTGAGCTCTTTTGACAGTATCTGTGGCATAATGTTGATTACCACAGGAAATCATTTCAATTTGTCTCTTAGTTTGTAAGAATAAAAGTCAACTGTATAGAAAGGCATATAAAGGGTTTAAAAGCACTAGAGGGTTTTCTTAAAGCACCTCTATTAATGTTTCTGTACAAATATGTTATTTGAGCTATAATCACCTAGTTAACAGTGGGACGACTGTCCTAGACTGTCTTATATTTTCTACACGTTTTGTCATGTAAACAGTACCTTTGTGCGTACTGTATGAAATTGACCAGATTTGTTTTATTTTTGAAATTGAATATAACTTTTCAAACGAGGTTAGTAAGCAATTTTTCCAACTAGTCTCATTCTTTGAAAACTGCATGAAAAACATTTGCTGTAGAAACAATTTTTACTCAGAAATTGCTAGTAAATTTCACAATAAATTGTAAAGAAATGACAAGTAACACACTGAATTAAAATTTTGAAGTAGAAAGCCTGAAATTATTATTTTATCTTTTTTGTAATACTTATTCCAGTAATCTTGAAAAAAATAAAATAAAATTGCAGTGTTAACATTTATTTCATTGCCATTTCTTGCCCCTGTAGACTTTAATTGTAAGTGCATTACTATAAATGTCATTTTTGCTTGTTTTTATAAACTGAAGGACAACTAGAAATGATTTTCTGTGGTAACAGGGCTTAACATGTTTGGCTTCAGTGTTCATGTAGTCTGTGTTTGTATAGTGTCACTTTCTGTGTGTATTTATGGGTGTTAAATGCAGGAAATTTGTCCCATATGCTGGTTTTGAATTTTTTAAACCCTCATTAGGATGTGCAGAAAAAGTATAAACCAAAATATGGGGGTGTTTTGAACGAAGATAAATAAACCTGTATATAGTTACTGGCACTGCAAGCCAAACATAAATGTATTTTAAATCTAACAATTAAATCTATGAACTCATTTTAAGTAATGAAATTCAGTAAATACATGCACACATGTGCCATGGCTCACACACAAACACACCTTGGTCAATCAGTGAGTGCAATGAAGGTCAGAGAGCAGCGATGTTTCAGTTCACTTCGATTACAGCATCACTGTGGTCTGTCTGCGTCCAGAGCAAATCACTCCGTGTGTCCGTGTGCTTTGTAAATAGACTGTGATTGTGACGTGTCTATCATGTTGTCCCTGAGGAGATGTTAGTGTGTCCGTTGCGTGTCTCATCTCGTTCTCTAAACACTGCCTTTCTCTGCAGTTATCGGCCACACTTGACTGTAATACACACAGATGTATATTCACAAACCTGTCTCTCGTTCAATGTCGTACGTTCCGAGAAAATCACGTTTCTATTGTACAAACTTCACACGCGCAACATGGTGAATATTTAACTATGATCGGTTGTGATGCACCTTCTCCGGACGAATCGTTTCCTGACGTTTTCTCTCTCTTTTTTTTTTTTTTACCAACTCAGGCATCACTTTTGCCTCTTACGATGAAAAAGCTGTGACTGACAAGTGTCTGTGCTACCCAGTGACTGTGCAGTTTTAAACTTGTCCCTTGAATGTCGACTTCTTCGCAAATTAAGAAAGAAAAAACCTTGCAACTGCATCGAATGATTTTATAAAGAACTGCGAGCATGTTAAATGCGCTTTCCGATTCGACCGATTGTTTGCGTATTTTCAAAAGTCCTCACCATGTAACTATATGTATGAAGAAATATGTCTATATCTATATGAATATATATTTAAAAAATGCAACTCTGATAATGCAGGCCTTGTGATCTCTGCATCTCTGACACAACCTGTCCGAAATAAAAGTTGCCCAGTGAAATGTGAATTATATACTCATATGCATGTGACAATGATGATCATATTTTGGGAGTGGCATACGAATACTAACTTTACTGTGACGTGATCTTCTGTTGACATGGGGCTTGTATATCCAATGCCTTTGACAATCATCTGCACATATCAGAGTTTATATTCCATGCTGTAAAGCAATGGGGAATTAAATTTTTTCCCCTTTCTTTTTCTTTCCTTTTTCCTTAAATAAATCCTGAATGATCATGATTTGTCTTTTATGGCTTGATAAGGATCTCAGTAGCTTTTGAACACTGTGTTTTCTGTCGTACGTTTGGTTTGGATCCAGTGTAAGTGGTCTTTCATTAGCGGTCAGTCGGGCTGGACGTTGCCGGTCTCCCACCAGCTCAGAGCTTCAGGCGATGCCTGCTGTTGCGGACTCTAAACAGACTGGAAAGAGAGCATGTGAAAACCATCCAGCCATCCGTGACCGCGTACGACCCCGGGCATCTGTGCGTGTGTCTGGCCAACATGTTAGACATTAGCCGTTTCAAGGAGGCGACGGTGAAAATGCAGCTTGCTTGCCAAGTTACTCGATATTCAAAAAGTACAGGTCTGCCAGCTTAGCAGACATTAAACACACACACATATATATGCCTTGCCTGAGTAAACTTGCTTTACCAGTAGAGAGAGAGGGGAAAAATGTGTATATAGTGTAGTATAAATGCAACATTTAAACTTACCATATGCATGCCACATAACACTGTGTTAAGAATATTGAAAAAAATAAAAAACACCTTTGCCGTTTCCCTAACAATTGATTCACAGTTACAACTGGACCTTACTACGATAAACAATGACCAATAGGCTATACTGTATACACACACACACACACACTCATTAACAGCTCTGTACTGACTGAGCAAATTTGATTCAAACTGCTACCCGAGTCACTTTGACCAACTATTTAAAAAAAGAACCGGTTCAAAAGAGTCATTTGTTTGAGATTCAAGTATCAGGGCTCGCACTGTGTTTGTTGTTGTAAGCAGGAACCTAAACAGGAACTTCATGAGATATCTGACAAATTGACATGTGGATGCATACATTTTTTTACCTATTGTTGGCAGTGGCAACCAGATTAGTCTATATAATGAAATAAAAGCAATATACAGCTAACATTTAGTAAAAAAAAATATATATATATATCTGACCCCTTGATACACTAAATTGCTGGTTAGTGTATTTCTATTTCTATTCACCACAATGATTTATGATATATTGAGTTTCCCCTAATTTTCTTTTTTGAATTCCAGTGTTTCTGCAGGTCTTATGAAGGTAAACTTAAATTTAAGACATCAATGTTTTCAAAATACACTGCTCTTTATATTTTTGTCTTGTTTTCTGAGAAGAAAATCACAATTTTGTCAGTTTTTGCTTAAAGCAAGAAAAATATCTGCCAACCGAGTAAGAAAAATAATCTTAATTCAAAGGCAAAACAAGATATTTTTTCTTGTTTTGATGTTCAACTGTCTTCTCCAAACTTTACAACTGTACTTCAATGTGGAATTATGTCAAAAGCTAAATTATTGTTATTTCATTTCATTGAATACATTTCATTTTATGCATTTAGCAGATGCTTTTATTCTCTCTTTGTTGAAGAGCCAACAATAGTCATAATATACAATGCCATGTTTATTAGACAACTAGATTAGGAAGCAAGCTAGAGAATAGAAGAAAAAGAAGTTTCTCTTTCATATTTTTCTCTCCACGCACCATCACCAGATGCAGTCAAACCCTTAATGCTGTGCTATAGGTTCTTCTGCAGACCTGACCGTGGAGAAACCCACTTTCATTTTACAAGCCGACATTGGAAACATCTTAAAATAGACGCTGAGATTTCCCCGGAGGACAGCACACATTGTTTTTCCCCTCG